TGTGTGAGTGAGTGAGTCTGAGAGTGTGAGTCTGTGAGTGTGAGTCTGTGAGTGTGAGTCTGTGAGTGTGAGTCTGTGAGTGTGAGTCTGTGAGTGTGAGTCTGTGAGTGTGAGTCTGTGAGTGTGAGTCTGTGAGTGTGAGTCTGTGAGTGTGAGTCTGTGAGTGTGAGTCTGTGAGTGTGAGTCTGTGAGTGTGAGTCTGTGAGTGTGAGTCTGTGTGAGTGTGTGTGTCAACAGACAGGTGGCAATTTCTTTCCTGGTTAAAAGGTTTTTAAAATTTTAATAGCTCATAAATCTCTCGTTATACTATATTATTACCAAATCTTGCGTTCAATCTTTTTGTCAACTTGTTTTTTTTTCCAAGTAGCACAAGTTTTGTATTTCTTTTTGGATCTGATTGATCTTAGCCCTCATTGATCTGAACTTGTGCTCCTCAGTTTATGAGCCAAAATTATCCACAAATAATGCTTTTTCACTCAAAAACTGAGGTGCATGAGCTCAGATCAATAAGGCCTATCCCTAGTGAAAAATAAATATACTCAAATGTATTTGAAATACATTTATTTCATGCTAAGCATACTGCAAATACATTTACATATTTATGTACTTAATAAAAATACCCTGCAATTATACTTTTGGTATACTAATGTGGTATAGTTAAAGTCAGCTAAATTGGAACGACTAATTTTGTACTTAATGCACTTTAGTTGTGCGGAAGTCCAACTAAAGATATACTGAAGTATATTTGATTGTGCTAAAGTGGAACTATTGTATGTACACTTTAAGTATCTTGCATTTAAAGACCGATATTATTGAAAGATCATACGGTCCTCATCAATAGTGACATTAAAACACATTTTAAGCTTAATGTTAAGAAATGTGCAATAATGCATTTTATTATAACATAGTATATAGCATAATGAGAAATTCATAAGCAATTTTCTTTTGTAGGCCGAACATTTCTGACCAAGAAAAAAAAATCCCAAAATATTTTTTCGAAGTTGTTGTATGTAGCCTGTGTGATTAAAGTCAGTAAGTTTTAGTCTAATGCAATAACATTAACTAGTAGTGCTGGGTAAAAAATATTGATTTCACGATTTTAATCGATTCTCATTTTTATGAAATGATATTGATTCATAAATCCTGAGAATCGATTAGTCGAGCCTGTCAGATAATTAATGCAACATTGTAGCGCCTCCCATCCAATAAATCACAATAAGCTTTTGTGATTTGTTACTTTTGATATGAAACAAAGTCTCAGATTTCAAATTCTGTCCATTTTATTACAATATTCAAATATTAAATGATGTTTTGGCGCTGTTTAATGTGAAGTGACAGATCGCTGTGAAATCATCGTCTCCTCCGCTTTAATAGCTGTTACAGCACGAAATAAACATGAATGAACATCCGAAGGTGTTAAAAGAAAGAGTACAACGTACTAAAATCTGTATCTGTCTCATGTAATCGTTAAATCAGTGTTTCAAACGTGGAAGGACGACAATAGCTTGTAAACAATGTGTCATGTAACGTCACATTTAACACAGAAAAACACATTTGGTGACCATGAACTACAAAAATAAACTCTAGAGAGGAGCATTTTGCTAAATTTGTTTTAATTTATTATAATTTTTTTTTACTGTTCTTCAATATTTAATTGAGAAAATTTGCCATGTTCTGTACCTGATATATATCCAAAATAATCACTACTGATTCGAATCGCAAGCTTGTGAAGGATAATCGAATCGAATCGTGAATTGTGTCAAAACCCAGCCCTGTTAACTAGCATTTACAAGAAAAAGAAAATCCTCTCCGGGGTCAAAGTGACCCGGACACAGCATGAGGGCTAAGAAGGTTAATAGTCGGGTTTAATTTACACTTCCAGACGCTACAGGATCTTCACACGGCGTTTCTGCATTTGGGTCAGTAAGTGTAATCCAGACAACACACTTTAGTGTCTGACAGCAAATCCTGTTCAATTGGTCGAGATGTTCATGTTCTCAAGATCTCTAGAGCTCGTGTTCCTTCCTGAAGATGATTTATGGTTCAGATGAATGCTAAACTGATAGATGTCACTGTATGAGGTTGCATATTGATGAAACGGATGTCTGTCTTAATGCTAATCCGGTTAAAGCAGAGTTGAGAGGTTGACGGTGTTGATCAACAATCAGGCATGATTCGGATCAGCTTCAGCAGGCTGTGCCGCTCTACCGTGGGTTTTAACTAATTTATTTCACATTCACAGGCTATCGTTTCTCTATGTGCCGTTATTATCGCTCATATATGTGTGTTTGTGTCTGGTCTCCTCCAGCTTGCAGAGTACCGGCAGAGGAAAGCTCAATCCGATGGCCAGAAGAAGCAGAAGAAGAAGAGAAAGAAGCCAGAATCGGATGCAGAGGAGCAGGGGAGAAATGAGGGAGAGGAGACCACCGTGTTTTCCCTCTCAAAGACCCTCCGGAGCGGAGAAACCGTCACACACGACCAGACCTACACCATAGTGGTGAGCAGAGATGTTTTTGTGTATTACTTCCTGTTTATCGTTTTGTTATACACAGGACACTTAATAACTCTCAACTAGTGGCAGTAAAATTTATTTTTATAAAAAAACAAAACAAAATTAAAGTTAAATTTAGCCGAAAACAGAAGCTGAAAATTATATTTATTTAATAATCAAATGTAATTAATAAGCAACACTCCAATCGTTGTACACAAACATGTTTTTATGCATGTTTTTAAATGATGTATTTATTCTAATTCAAATTGTTGTTGGAAATATAAACATTTGTAACTTGATAATCATGGTAGAAACATACTAGTCACTTGCTAATCATGCTAGCAACATGCTAGTAACATGCTAGTAACATTAATCATGCTAGTAACTTGTTAATCATGCTAGCAACATGCTAGTTACTTGTAATCATACTAGCAAAATGCTAACAACATGCTAGTAACATGTTAATCATGCTAGAAAAATGCTAGCGTCATGCTAGTAACTTGCTAATCATGGTAGAAACATGCTAGTAGCATGCAAATTTATGATAGCAACATGCTAGTAACATGCTAATCGGGTGCGTTTCCCAAAAGCATCGTTAGCTAACTATGGTAGTTTGTTCCTTTGAAATCTATTGGTAACGACGGAACATGCGACCATAGTTGCTTTTGGGAAACGCACCCCAGGCTAGAAACATGCTAGTGACATGTTAGTAACTTGCTAATCGTGCTAGCGACATGCTAGTCACTTGCTAGTCATGCTAGCAACACGCTAGTTACCTGTTAATCATGCTAACAACATGCTAATCAGGCCAGCAAAATGCTAGCGACATGCTAGTAACTTGCTAATCATGGTAGAAACATGCTAGTAGCATGCAAATTTATGCTAGCAACATGCTAGTAACATGCTAATCGAGTGCGTTTCCCAAAAGCATCGTTAGCTAACTATGGTAGTTAGTTCCATTGAAATCTATTGGTAACGACGGAACTTGCGACCATAATTGCTTTTGGGAAACGCACCCCAGGCTAGAAACATGCTATTGACATGTTAGTAACATGCTAATCATGCTAGCGACATGCTAGTCACTTGCTAGTCATGCTAGCAACATGCTAATCATGCCAGCAAAATGCTAGTAACAGGCCAATCATGTTAAAAACATGCTAATCATGCTAGAAACATGTTATCAACATCGATCTAATCTATCTAAATGTTCAAACTTCAGACTTTTACAACTGCTTTAATCTTTCAGGCTAGGCTTTCTCAAGCCAACCTAAAGTTTGTCTTGACGAACTTTTTTATTTAGTTCAAATTGTTGTTTGAAATAGAAACATTTAAACATTTAAATTTAAAAACTTTATTCAATCATACATTAAAGCTGCAGTTTATATAATAAGCGACTACACCATGAATCCATTTTCCAAACCGTGTTTTTGACTCGTCCTGAATCACTACGGTACACATATAATAAGTGTTTATATTCGGACTATTTAGACTGGTTCGGGTAGGTGCCGCTGCGGAGTAGCCCAGTACCTGCGTGATTCGCCAGAGACATTAACAGAGAGAAGTAGCTCGGGCTACAATATTCTTCCACAAGACGCACGCAGTTCTGTTTATTAACCGCTAGAGCGCCAAAAGTTACGGACTGCAGCTTTAAATAACGCAATAATTAACAGGTTAAAGGGGTCATATGATGCGATTTCAAGTTTTCCTTTCTCTTTGGAGTGTTACAAGCTGATTGTGCATAGATAAGATCCCTGAAGTTGCAAAGACTGAAGTCTCAAAACCAAAGAGATATTCTTTATCAAAGTTAAGACTCTGCCACGCCCCCCTAAAACGGCTCGTTCTAACACGCCCCCACATATCTACCCCACTATGTGGAAATATTTGCATAATGCCGCCCAAATGAGCACGCAAAGAAAGAAGGCGTGGTTTCAGGAACAGCAGTTAGTGTTGAAGCAGCCATGTCAAGGAGACGCTGTGTGTTTCTAGGCGAAAGCAAAAGCACTTCATTTGGCATTTCCGAAAGTAGATACATTTAGGAATCTTTAAGATTACTTACAACAGAACAGCAATGCATTTTATGGACGACCGTTTCGTGAACCTAGGAGAAGAGGTCATTCTGCCTTTGCTATGACAATCTGGCGCTTCTGAATCAGCTACTGTAAGTATGTTTTGTTATTAGTTTAAGTATTTGCAATTGACTGTTCAAATGCGGAGTTTTGCACATCGTGTGTGTGAGCGCGAGCGAGCGAGCGAGAGAAAGAGAGAGAGAGAGCGAGAGAGAGAGAGAGAAAGAGAGAGAGAGCGACAGAGCGCGAGAGAGAGAGAGAGAGAGAGAGAGAGAGAGAGACATGGTCACATCACAGTGGAGTCAGCTGTCTTAACCGTGGCTTGTGTACTGCAAACACATATTCATCACTGTGTCTGTCACGAGACTCTGTTCCCCTTTCGGGCTCTGTCTTTACATTTATTTTGAAAGATGAAGCTCGCGATTATGGTAAGGGGCGTTACATTTCCGACGAGTGCTTGCGGTGTTCAGCCAATCACAATGCACTGGGTCAGCTGGCCAATCAGAGCAGACTGCGCTTGTCGGAAGGAGGGACTTTGTAGAAAACGAAGCGTTTGAGAGAGGCGGGGCATAGAGGACCTACAATAATGTACAGTATTTGAAAAATAATGTGTTTTTTGAACATTAAAGCATGTCAACATATTCTGTTACACCAAATACACAAAATAATGATCTTAAAAAAA